GTAACTATACTATACTATATATATATATATATATATATATATATATATATATATATATATATATATATATATATATATATATATATATTTATCATAAACATAACACTTAAGAAACGTATAGAAACTGAAACAGGCTTTGAGGGACTGGAACGTATTTCAGCAATAAACGACAAGCAGTTCTGTAGATCAAACTTTGTCCGCTCCACCTCTTCGGAGGATGAATGATGATGATGATTATATATTTTAGGTGTTATTATATTTTATCCATTTGACTATCTTAATAATACCTTTTGTCAAGACTGACGCTAATTCAGTCTGCTGACTGCTATGTCAGATTGTGTTAAGTTTCTTTCAATAATTGAAAACAAATTATCATAATCATAAGAAGATGAGAGGTGACGCTTTTTTCATCGTGTTCCAAGAGCCTCTTTATCGCTCCCGACAAGCTCGCTACCGGGGTGGAATGTACCTTCTGTGCTTTAATGGGCAAAGGTCCAAACCAGGGCATCCCGCCAAACATTTAACCATGTAAGACGTCTGTCTTCGCGCCAATGACAGGACGTAATTAGAACGTTGTGGACTCCTAACTAGTTTTCCGACGTGGCCTTGACGGGAGAGTTGTAGCCCAGTCTATTTGCGTCAGCAGAATAATTAGCTTTACCTCGACAGCATGCCATCGCCGATTATTCAGCTGAAAAACAATGAAGAACAATATTTCATGTGGCTTCTTTAATCTAAATGCTGACTCGTTGTAGCGTTGCGGAGTTTAGGTCAGTTAGTAACTGTGTGATTACACTCCATTTTTAGCTTTGCTGTGATGAGATGATACTGACAGGCCTGCTCGAATGTACCTTCTGTACTTCAATGGGGAAAAGTCCAAACCAGGGCATAACGCCAAACGTTTAACCATGTAAGACGTCTGTCTTCGCGGCAATGACAGGAGGTAATTAGAAAGTTGTGGAATCCCAACGAGTGCCTTGCCAGGATGTCACCGCCGATTATTCAGCTGAAAAACAATGAAGAACAATATTGTATGTGGCTTCTTTAATCTAAAAGCTGACTCGTTGTACCGTTGTACTTCTTCTTCTAAATACTTCTTTTTCTGAGACAAAACCGATAATAAATGAATCACTGTTACCTTTACCCTTTTTTTAGCTTTGCTGTGATGTGATGTGACTGACAGGCCTGCTTAAATGTACCTTCTGTACTTCAATGGGCAAAAGTCCAAACCCGGGCATCCTTCCAAACGTTTAACAATGTCAGACGTCTGTCTTCGTGCCAATGACAGGACGTAATTAGAAAGTTGTGGAATCCTAACGACTTTCCCGACGTGGCCTTGACGGGAGAGTTGTGGCCCAGTCTATTTGTGTCGTTTGCGTCAGCAGAATAATTAGCTTTTTCTCGACAGTATGCCACAGCCGATAATTCAGCTGACGGTTGGAGACGTGCTGGCGCCTGAAACGGCTGCCAAGAACATTCTGGTCACTTTATTATCAATACCTGTTGCATTGGCATGTGAAATGCATCGAAACCCCTAAATTTACAGTCTTCATACAACCATAGGAACGTGCCAAGAAAATTTTGGCCACAATATTATCAATTCAGAAGAGCTTACATAACGAACGTTTGCAATGCCGATATCTTCTACGCAGACCAATTTGAAACACCTGTTACATTGGCATGTGAAATACATCGAAACCGCTATTAAAATTTACAGTCTTTATACAACCATAGGAACGTGCCAAGAACATTCTGGTCGATAAATTGGCCACTTTATTATCAATTTAAAAGGGCTTACATAACGAACGTTTGCATGGTGATATCGTCTACCGCAGCCCAATTTGAAACGCCTGTTGCATTGGCATGTGAAATGCATCGAAACCCTATTAAAATTTACAGTCTTTATGCAACCATAGGAACGTGCCAAGAACATTCTGGTCAATGAATTGGCCACTTCATTATCAATTCAGTAGGGCTTACATAACGATGGTGATATCTTCTACGCAGCCCAATTTGAAACACTTGTTGCATTGGCATGTGAAATACATCGAAACTCCTATTAAAATTTACAGTCTTTATACAACCATAGGAACGTTCCAAGAACATTCTGGTCAATAAATTGGCCACTTTATTATTAATTCAGAAGGGCTTACATAACGAACGTTTGCAATGTCGATATCTTCTACCGCAGACCAATTTGAACCACCTGTTGCATTGGCATGTGAAATGCATCGAAATTCCTATTAAAATTTACAGTCTTTATACAACCATAGGAACGTGCCAAGAACATTCTGGTCAATAAATTGGCCACTTTATTATTAATTCAGAAGGGCTTACATAACGAACGTTTGCTATGACTGTGATGGATTCTTCGCAGTCCAATTTGAAACACTTGTTGCAAGTGGATATGGAATGCATCGAAAGCCCTAATGTAATTTTACAGTCTTTATATAGCCAAGAGACAAGGTAGGTATGTATACGAGCAAAGTGACTTGAAGAGTAGGATATTGTATTTATTTATTTTGCATTTCTGGTATAACAAGT